GAATGTCAATTGTGCCTCCACTTCAAACTGCCGGTAATCTAAGATCAACACTGATTTTAATGAGAATTTTTTTTCTACTGATTTAATAGAGTTTATCACAGTTTTTTCAGAAAAAAAAGTGGGTATTCATGGGGAAGTTACACAATCAGAAATTTGCACAAAATGCAGTAAAACAGTAAAAATAGATTTATTGTTGTGCTTTAACTTGTATTATATATTGTAATACAAAGTATTTATAAATTTAAAAGTATTTCATAATCAGTACTAGAAATAAGTCTTAAATTAAGCCTGAATTAAACTAGGGCCATTTAAGTTTTTAAATGGCCCTAGTTTCTCTCTACCATCTACCCCCTGTCCATTTATTTTTTAGCATGCACATTTTTGCCCAAAACTTAGAAAAAAAATTGTAGTTGAACACTTCTCCTTACACAGTGTGTCTGGTTTTATGTCTGGCACATGAATTGTGTTTATACACAAACAAAGAATTTAACATACACATTTAAAAGCTGTGACAAAAGACAAGCAAGTTATTGAGTGTTCTTTATTTTATATATAAAATTTATCATTTCTTACACTTCTCTTACATGGTGTGTCTGATTTTATGTCTGATGTATGAAGTGTCTTTATTCCCTAACACCCCACTAAACATACATATATAAAATCTGTGACATTGAGTTTATAATGTTAGACAGTAAAAAGACTTTTTTAGGTGAATAAAAATGAATAAAATGACTTTTAGTCTTTTACCTAATATTTACCTAATATTTAATATCTATAAGTTTTGTAAAAACTTCTCATTTATTTAATATATTTGATTACCATGTTTAAAATTGTGTCATAACTTATACCAAGTTATGAGTTTTTGACTCGCCAACAGAATGCTAAATTGATTATGTAATAAAAAATATTATTATGAAATAAACAATCAATTTAAACAGTCTTTTAAATAAATATGCTTTAAAATCAATTTTTGTTACATAACTATAAAAGTGTAAAACAAATAAATCAAATTTATAATAATTTTGCTATGTTGTTATTTAATTATGTTATTTATGAATGTTTTTATGTTATTTGTTTCAGTTTTTTCTTGAGCTAGTTCATAGCATCTACCAGTTGTTAATTGAACTTTTAAAGATGAAATTTTGTATAAAACGTGTATTATTGGAAACCAGCGAATATATTCTTTATGTGGCCAAGTAAAAGTGTTTTAGTAAATAAACTGCTTCATAAACTTGATAAGAACAACAGTAAGACACTGTTTTAGTGTGTTGATATCTGGACAATTATTGCAACTGTGCAGCATTGAGTCTCAATTTGTGAAGTCACGTATAACTTATATCAAGAGCTCTGAAGTATCTGTATTTTTAATGCTAGAAGTTTTGCATTCTGGTGGTACTCACTAACATATACTGAATAGAAACCTGAAGCCCCTTTAAAATGAATCACCACTTTGATCTTAGTTAATAAAACTTAAAAAACCCAATCTTAGCATTGAAGGAAATTTTAATGAACTCTAAATAAAATTCTTTTATATTAACTAATAGAAGCCTTTTTTGAAAATGTTGTCTTTTACCACTAACTTGGATTGAGACATATTGTTTCATACCTAGACACATTTGAGAGTATTTATCTCATTAGTAAAGTTCATGAACTTAATTTTTTACTTTCTCACTGATAGATCTTCCTTCTTTTTTAGATGGTTCTACCATCATGTCATGCATTTGTTTCAAATACCTTGCAGCTTTTATTATTCTTAGGGAAGCAAAAAATTAGTTTTGTATATAATTAATGTTCCAACTCTCAGGAACCCAAGTCAGTAATTTAATTTTTTCTGATTTTTAAGAAACATTGAACTTTGCTTTAATTAATTCCATTAATAAGTCAAAGTCTAGTTTACTTTTGCAACACAGCTTTTTGTTTTTGGTTTATCCTTAATCAATTTTTTTTTCGTTGAAGTGTGGATTTTATTCATCTTCTTTTTGCATAGCTGACCCTATTTTTATGAGCTACTAGTTTTAGAGGTAAACAACCAAGGCCATTAATGCTTGTACTAAAGTTTTCTTTTAAAATTTAAGTCTCATTGACATCATTATCTTTATATTGGCATGAATTGCTTCCATAGTCTTTGTTTTTATTTTTTAAATAAAATATTTTTGGAGGTTCTGTACAAAGTTTATGACCTAGTATTGAATCTAACAAATAGTTTGAATATGATTTATTTTACATTTTAAGTGCACAAGTTCTTGATCTTTTTCTGTTAATTCTCAAAACATTTAATTTTCTTGATTTTGGTAAATTTTATTTCATGAAAATCTTTATTTAATGCTTTTTCAATGCAATATTAAGTTAGATCTAATGATGCACTTGCCATTTATTTTAAATAACTACCTAAGAGGATTTACTTAAATACAAGTTTTGATATTACTTAAATAAGAGTTTTGACACAACAAAAATTAAGAAATGATTAATTTTATATATAAAATAAAGATATAAAAAGAACACTCAATAACTTGCTTGTTTTTTGTCACAGCATTTAAATATTGAATTTTTTGTTTGTGTATAAAGACACTTCATGTGTCAGACATAAAACCAGACACACTGTGTAAGTGTTCAATTAAAATTTTATTCAAGTTCTGGGCAAAAATGTGCATGTTAAAAAGTAAATGGACAAGGGGACAGGGAGAGGCTAGGGCTACTTAAAAATTGAAATTAATTCAGGCTTAATTTAAGACTTATTTCTAGTACTGATTATGAAATAATTTTAGTTTGTATTACAATATATAATACAAACTAAGTACAACATTAACTCTATTTTTATTGTTTTTTATGCATTTTGTGCATTTTGTGCACAACTTTTTTTTCTGAGATTACTGCAATAAAGTCTATTAAACCAGTAGAAAAAAAAATCTTATTAAAATCAGTGTTGATCCTGGTTACCAGTGGTTTGAAGTGGAGGCACAATATCTTAAGTTTTAGACAGCCATTTTTAGAAATCTTTAATTTTTTACTGAATTGTATCTTATCAATTTAGTTCTAAAAATTTGGAGTCCTACCATTTATAGAACCTAAAAAAATATTTCTTTTCACTTCTTAAATTGCATACTTTGTATATTGACTAATCAAAAATCATTTTTTTATATTTGCAAACTGTTATTTAGGTTTTTAGGTAGTCATTATGGATAAAATATGACACAAAAAAAACTAGAATGTTTTCTGAAATTTTATTTTTAAAATATAGAGCTTCAAAGTATGAACAAAACATGTTTTTTTAAATAGTTTTTATTTCTGGAAAAATCAAAAATTTTAAATGACCATATCTCAAAAACCACATAAATTTTTATGTTGAAAATTTAAGGAATAGCTTGTCTCATTGTTTTAAACTAACCCATCAAGTTTCATCAAAAGCTTGGGTGGTCCATGTTGAAATCCTAAAACTTTGTTCCATTTGGCAAAAAAAATAAATAAAAAGTTATATTTGAGTTAAAGTTTTACTTTATAAGGTTAATCTTTTAATTGTTCTTTACAAGTTTAATAAAAAACTTGTTTCTTTTAAATTTTATTAACATTTTTTTGAATAATTTATTCAATTGATTCATTCATGAACATTCATTTTTAAGTAATATTATTTTTGACAAAATTGTTTTATAAGTACAAATATGTAAATCAAATTATTTAACTAAAATGTTACTCCAACAAGATAATAAAGGTGAAACAGGGAACTAGTTAGAAAAAAAATACTATAGTTGAAGATATATAGTATATTTAAAAACCTGTTTGTAAAGAAAAATTTTTCCTTTTCAAAATGTAGTGCTTCTTTAATTTTTATTCGGAAGGATATCTCAGATATCATAAAATAGAAAATAGTTCTTCAAAAACTTGCTTTGCTCAAATGTCAAGTGGTTTTACCCACATAATTAGCTACGTAACTTACTTGAACAAAAATCTACATTTTAAAATTACATTTAAAAGTAAGATCATAAAGAAGTTTAAGAGCTGAATAATATTTTTTTATTTTTAAGAAAGAAAAAGCTAATTCAATATTTGCGGTTTTAAAAAAAAAGTTTTTCGAAAGCATTGTTATTTTATTTTGAATTCAATTAGATTTACTTTTTCTCAAATTGACATAAGTTGATACTTTCTCTACACTCATAAAAGGAATTTAAAATAAAAAAATTTAACTTAAGAAATTTGTTTTTCTTAATTTTTAGTTTTGAACAAGTACTAAAATGTATAAAGGAATAATGTAAGTACTAAGTACTATAATGTACTAAGGTGCAAGTACTATAATGTACAAGTACTATAATGTACTAACAAGCACTACAAGCACCAGAGGAATAGTTTACATAATTAAGGAATAATTTATATATTGTAGGGATTTTATAAAGTTACATCCTCTTGAATTTTTTGATTGACAAAACAAATGTTATTTTAAAATAAAACAAATTCTATAAGAATTTGTTTTATTTTAGATCAATGATATTTGTTTTTGAATATTTATTATTAATTTTGTATATCTTATCAATTAATGTTTTAATCAATTTTGTAAGAGAAGCAAATAAAACTCAAATAGTTATCCATGACATTAGAAAACATTCAAACAATAAGATTAAAGAATTTACTAAATTTATACATTGATGTTTATGTTATCTAATGATGTTATTTGATTAGGCAAATCAAAAATATTTTTGTCTCGTTTTCTTTTTCTTTTCTATTCTTTTTTATATCATTTTTTTACAGACAAAACTGAAAAAAAAATAGTAAAAAAATATTTCTATTTATTTCTTTACAATAACTCTTCTCATTTTAGTTATGCTATATGATATTAATAAAAACATCTTGATTTTTTTTTTTTGAATGAATGTTGTGTTATTACATATTCCTTATGGTAAAATTGTTTGTTAATCTTTTATTATTTAAACATCAATTATTAAACTAATAAACAATTAAAAATATACCACGCAATTTTCTTTTGTTTGTTAAAAGCTGTTAATATTTTTTAGGTGCATCCGATGGTGACAGACATTTAAATGCTAAAGTAATCAATTTTTTAAAGTCGTCTTCACATATTGGTAATTGTTTTGATTTAACAATAAATTTTTTAGATTTTAAGCTAAAATCTATATAATTGGTCTGCAACTAAAATCTTTTTTTTGATTGGTCTGCAACTTAATAATTCTATTAGTCATATGTATTAACTACCTATATGAAGTTGTAAAACAAAATTATTATTTGTTTAAACTTTATTTATATTATGTATTTTCTTTATAGTCATAATTTATAACAATTTAAAATTTGCAAGATATAATGATAACCATCAAAATAAGCATTATGATTTCAAAATAAGATTTCTGATTAAAAAAACTACACACAATAATAAGGTAATTTTTTAAATGTTTAAATGTTTAAAAGCTTGTTTTTAAAAAGAGACAAAAAAGGTAATTGATACATTACTTTAAAAATCATTTAGCAATTATTGTAAGGTTATATTGTAAGATATATTACAAATTATATTATAATGGTATATATTATTTTATAAGGAAAAATAAACATGTTAAAATATTCTTGCTATTCAGAATAATAAAAAAAATTGATTACAATTAAATATAGGATTATATTCGATTCATTTCTGGTATGTCTAAGATGGTCATTTCATTTTAATTTGTTGTTAAAAATTACACCAAGTTTTCACTATTTCAGTATCGTTTCTCATAGTAAGTTTTCACAGTTATTATTAAGATTTTTTTAAGGTTTTTCACCAAATTTTGATAACTCTGCGTTTCTTTATGTTGAAAGCAATATCCAGTGCATACATCAACTATCTCATAGCCTGGTGCTGCCAGGGGCGGGTGTCACTTGCCAAGGAGGGGGCTAAAAAGGTCTATAAAAAAAAAAAAAAAAGGTCCGCATATTTTCATTTATAAGTAACTTTTTCTTTAAATTTTTTGTACTTAATTGTAATAATCAAGTTCATATACGTATAATTACGTACCATAGTCAATTTCATTCATCAATAGTCCAATTCTGTATAATAGTCAATTTACAAAAGAATATTTCTGAAAAAAAGTACCAAAGGGGGGAGTTTACTACCCCCATGCCCCCCTAAAATCTGCTACTGGGTGCCGCAAAGGAGTGATGCTACATCAACTGAGGGCTCGACATGAGGCAGCAATCTTTTCTTTCATTATATTTTTTTTAACTAAAATCTTTTTTTTGATTGGTCTGCAACTTAATAATTCTATTAGTCATATGTATTAACTACCTATATGAAGTTGTAAAACAAAATTATTATTTGTTTAAACTTTATTTATATTATGTATTTTCTTTATAGTCATAATTTATAACAATTTAAAATTTGCAAAATATAGTGATAAATATCAAAATAAGCTTTATGATTTTAAAATAAGATTTCTGATTAAAAAAACTACACACAATAATAAGGTAATTTTTTAAATGTTTAAATGTTTAAAAGCTTGTTTTTAAAAAGAGACAAAAAAGGTAATTGATACATTACTTTAAAAATCATTTAGCAATTATTGTAAGGTTATATTGTAAGATATATTACAAATTATATTATAAAGGTATATATTATTTTATAAGGAAAAATAAACATGTTAAAATATGCTTGCTAATCAGAATAATAAAAAAAATTGATTACAATTAAATATAAATGTAGAAATATTTTTTTAGGAAAGAATTAACTTAAATTGCTGTGACAGTGCAATGCAACTTTATTTATATATATCTGGCAAATAACCAATACATGTATTGAGAATACTATTTTATTAAGAATTTAAATAGATTTTTTTCTGTTTTTATTTTATTTAATGTGTAAAATAGAATTATCTGCAATGAGAAAAACAAAATAAAAATTAAATTTCTCATTAAGTCTGTCTAGCAGACTTTAGCAGATGCCTGTTCAGCAACAATAAACTCAAATCGATTCTTGAATTTGTTTATCTCTTGTACGCAATAGATAAGTTATAATTTTCTACTCCTTTGTAAGGAAATTATACGTTGTTTGATTTTTTGTGAATTGCCTCAACAATCTTGATTTAGAACCTCTAACATTGTTTGCAGGTTGCATAGGGAATGTGATTGAATGTATCTTGAACGTTTGCTTTAGCATGCCTAGGATTATATTCGATTCATTTCTGGTATGTCTAAGATGGTCATTTCATTTTAATTTGTTGTTAAAAATTACACCAAGTTTTCACTATTTCAGTATCGTTTCTCATAGTAAGTTTTCACAGTTATTATTAAGATTTTTTTAAGGTTTTTCACCAAATTTTGATAACTCTGCGTTTCTTTATGTTGAAGGCAATATCCAGTGCATACATCAACTATCTCATAGCCTGGTGCTGCCAGGGGCGGGTTTTGTCACTTGCCAAGGAGGGGGCTAAAAAGGTCTATAAAAAAAAAAAAAAAAAGGTCCGCATATTTTCATTTATAAGTAACTTTTTCTTTAAATTTTTTGTTCTTAATTGTAATAATCAAGTTCATATACGTATAATTATGTACCATAGTCAATTTCATTCATCAATAGTCCAATTCTGTATAATAGTCAATTTACAAAGGAATATTTCCGAAAAAAAATACCAAAGGGGGGAGTTTACTACCCCCATGCTCCCCTAAAACCTGCTACTGGGTACCGCAAAGGAGTGTTGCTACATCAACTGAGGGCTCGACATGAGGCAGCAATCTTTTCTTTCATTATATTTGTTTTTTCTTTTTTTTCTGAAAACACTATTTATACATTAAACCGCTGCTATATAGCAGCGGTTCTCAACCTGTGGGTTACGACCCCAATGGGGGTTACTTGACAATTTGCCAGTGGTCCAAAAATATGTAATCCCCCATTTGCAAGGTGGTTGTCAGCAAAATTCCCTAAATCAAGATTTTTATTCTTGTAAAAATTTTTAGTTTAATAATCACTTCTTTTTAATAATTGAAAATAAATAAATATTTAAAATAAATAAATATTTAAAATAAATAAATATTTAAAATAAATAAATATTTAAAATAAATAAATATTTAAAATAAATAAATATTTAAAATAAATAAATATTTAAAATAAATAAATATTTAAAATAAATAAATGTTGAAAATAAATAAATATTGAAAATAAATAAATATTGAAAATAAATAAATATTGAAAATAAATAAATATTAAAAATAAATAAATATTAAAAATAAATAAATATTGAAAATAAATAAATATTGAAAATAAATAAATACTGAAAATAAATAAATATTAAAAATAAATAAATATTAAAAATAAATAAATATTAAAAATAAATAAATATTGAAAATAAATAAATATTGAAAATAAATAAATATTGAAAATAAATAAATATTGAAAATAAATAAATATTGAAAATAAATAAAAAACTTTAAATATAAATTTAACTTTAATTCGAAATAAAAAAAATTTTTTTATTCATTTATTTTTTGTAAACAAAAAAGATAGTGTTAAATGTCAATAATAAAAAAATAAACTTTTTTTTTTCAAAAAGCAGTTTTATGACATTTGTGCATCATTTCTACATGGTTGTGCAAAACATTTTTATTTTTGTTTTGAGTTTATTAATATTGTTGTAGTTAAAGAATATTTATCTACATGAAAACAATAACAATTTGAAAACAAATAAAAACTGACTTTTCATATTCCATAAGGCTTATGCATTACACAATTTGTATTAATAACAAGCTTTGATTAAAACTTGCCAATAATTTTTTAATTATTATAATTAATGTTATATTGTCATATATGTCATACATTAAAAATTTTTATATGGGAGTATATTAAATATGTCTATAGTGAATTAATAATATTTTATTTTATATATTTAGAAAAACGATTTAGAAGACAATTGTTATTGAAAGTTGTTGGAAAAGGTATTTTTTTTATAAACTACTTTGATCATTCTCTCATACATTAACAAAAATATTGAAACGGTTAAATAAGTGCAGAAGAGTACATTGAATATTAGTTTAGTACACTGAATATTAGTGCAGAAGAGTACACTGAATATTAGTTTAGTTTGAGTGTTTAAGTTATGTATATGAATTTATGTATATATGTATTTTTTGGGATTTAGTGAAAAATTATACAAAGAAATATGATTTGTTGATTACAAATAAATATGATTGCTGATAAAAAATACTTATATATATTTAAAAAAAGTCCTACAATGGTGTCATATATTAAAACTCTTAAGTATTAATTGCACATGAGATATATTATCAAGTCTGTTAATTGTGGCATATATTATTAGGACTCAGAAATCGTCTTTTCAAGGACCTTCTTTTTTTTACAGAGTAAAATGAAGGAGAAGATCTTTTACTTAAACAACAAGTTTAGTTTTTATTGGTATTCATTTATTAGTTTTTATTTAAAAAATTTAGCTCAAACATTTTTCTCTCAACAGTTTTTTGAATGACTACACAACACAACATGTGTTGTGAGTTTAAATAGTTCAAAGAAAATTGAAGAAAGTTCTGGAAGACGCTTTAGTAAGACAGAAATGTTTTCTGGATCACAAGCTGTTTATGAGTTTAATAAAGAAATAAGGTTAGCAACAGAAGCCATAGTAATCTGGATGTCTAACAATCTATCAAGCAAGAAAGTTTTTTTTGTGTGCAAAAAGTTAAAGTAAAGATTATGAGTAGAATCAGCAGAGTAGAATCAGCTCCAAGGTAGTGGTAAAAAGTCTGGAAAGTCACAAAACCTGAGTAAGAAATTATGAAAGACAAAAATTTTAAATTTTAATGCCAGCAAGGTCAGTGTTACAAGTACCAAGCCATTTAGTCTGATGAGTTTTAAATTTACCAATAACAGTATTTAATGTGGGATTAACAGAAAGAGTTTAATCAATTTGATCATAAAAACATTGAAAATAGTCTTGAAAAAAAGGAGAACATTAAAAAACAAAAAGAAATGTGATCAAGTGAAGAGGTGTCAAATAAAAGCACATAAATATAAGACAACCTGATTTTATGACAAATAAGTGAGTTAATGTTTAAGTATATGCTTAGTTTAATTGTGTGACTGAAGCATGTGACTATATATATTTTTGCGAATCAAAAGATAATAGCCATCAACACTGAGATCCAACAGCCAAATTCAAGTCTCATAAAGAGCAAGTAAGTCTGGTGAATTTGTTCTTGAATTAAAATGATTTGGTTTTTTTAGGTACTTAAGTCATGTTTTAAGTTACTAGATAACTTGAATTAATCATTAATAGTGCATGGCACTATAAGTAATGAGCTATAAAGTTGCATCATGCCCACTAATTAACCTAAAGTCATAATTAAGAGCTTCTTATGTAGCCTTAGCAATGCACACTGAAAGTACTAACAGGCACACAGTTCATGTGCAACATGGCTTTCTTAATATTCTGGTATTTTTTTTGAAGCTGTACCCTTGTAAGGAGAAAATAGGGAAAGTTGCATAGCTGCTATCAATGAATAGCAAGTAAAAACCTAAGAGTAGAGTTTTTTTTGTTTGTTTTTTTTAATTTTAATTCACCTCCTCAAGGCCGAGAAGGCCACTACAGACGAGGAGGCTACTTATTTGTGGCTATAACCCTCTCTCAACTCTATAACTCCGAAACACAAACCTTGACAAACAAGGCCGCTGCACGGAGAAATGAGTTGAGCGCGGTACTACCAGGGACGTGGTGGGGATCGAACTCGGAACCACTCGTTTATGAAGCGAGCGCTTTACCACTACACCACTACCGCATTTTAAGTTAAAAATATCTTGTGTTTATCATCCTAGGAAGAATAATGATCACTATAAACAATATCACACTGGTTTATATCATTCTAGCCTTATAGATAAAATATGTATTTAAGTCAAACTTGATAAGCAATACCCTATATTAATGGTCTTTCTGACATTCTTTTTTCTAAAATGGCTCTTTTTACTGATGACACAGCTTTATACTAAGTCTTGACAAAAAGTCATCTTCATTTTTAATTGCTTAGAACAAGTAATCCATCTTGATTTGAATCTTCAATAACAGCTTAAACTTTGTAGTAGCTTGAATGTTTGAAGTGTAACTTTGTTATAAATCAAAAACTAATTTTATTTTTTTATTTAACTCTGATTTATTTAACTTAAAAAAAAACTCTGATGTATGCTAATAATTTCACTTGTCTCGGAAGCCATGTCTATCTTGGTACCCAGGTAATGTTCTTTTCTAATGTTCTTTTTAGATGCTAATTCAAAAAATACCATCAGTTTCTTTCTATCAGGTCACGTTCCTCTGATATCCATACCACTTTTTTTCACAATTAAACGCATTTTCAATATTACTAAATCTACCCCCAGAAAATGACCCCTGGATCTTACAGATATACAGTTTCCCCGTAATTCTGATGGGTATACTTATTATCAAATTATCTTAATCCAAACTAAAGCTATTAAAACAAACAGATTCTATGATAGTTTTACAGCATTCCAGTTGCATACTCAAAACACTTGAAGGAATCCTATGAAAACATTGTTATACTGCTGAATGCAATTAAATATGAAAAGTAAAAATGGAAAATATATGACGATCTTAAAGTAATTGATTTACTGTTAGGCATGCAGAGTGACTTCACAAAATACATGTGGGTTGTAGGACAGCTGGGCAATACAGGAGCACTACATGAAAAAGAACTGGGCCCCGCGTGAAAATTTACTCCAGGACAGCACAGTATTAAATCTAACCCGCTGGTTGATCAAAGAAGCATTTTCCTGCCACCACTTAATACAAAATTAGGACTCATAAAACTTTGTCGAAGTCATGGATTCAGATAGAAATGGGTTCAAATATGTGCATCAAGTTTTTACAGCTCTAGGTGACGCCAAAGTAAAGCAGGGAATATTTGTTGGCCCACAAGTTCGAGTTCTCCTGAATGACACAGAGCTTCCTAATAAACTAAATGTTAAAGAACACAGAGCATGGATTGCTTTTAAAGATATTTACGAAAATTTTCTAGGATCACACAAAGCTCCCAACTGAAGATAAGTCCTAACTGAAGATAAAGTTGGAGAACTGAAGATAAAGTTGGAGTCCATATTAAGATCTAGGTACAAGGATGTCTTTAAAAGTACATTTCTTGCTTAGCCATCTGGATTTTTTCTAGAAAATCTTGGTGCAGTCTCGGACAAGCATGGAGAATGCCAAGCATGGAGAATGCCAATGTCTTGTTTTCACCAAGACATTGGCACTATGGAAAAGTACTACTAGAGACGATGGAACCCCGGAATGATTGCGACTACTGTTGGATGCTTTAGAGAGAATGTAAAACCCCACACACAAGAAAATCAACAAAAACACACTTTTAATAAGATATTTAGTTCCGCAAAGCAAAAACACAATATATGAAAAAATCAATGGACATTCGATGAACTGAATTTATTTTTCACAAAGATTAGTGTACTATGATAATTCCCTATTGGTAAACAAAACTACAATAGTAGAATTGGATGAAGAGTTTTGTAATCTGAATTGGTCTATTCACATGATACAGAAATACTACTTTGATTTTCAGAATCAGCAAAAACTATTAGTTATTATCACCTATAGCAACTGAAGATACCGGGCAAAATTTTTGTTTTGGTAAACCAGTGTTATTGCAATAATAATGTTAATATTCCTATACTATGAATGGCTACTTATTGTGTCTTCTATTTTACATCTTCTATGACTCATCTTTTATGAAAATGAAATCTAACTCTTTTGGTTAAGTTTTTGTTGTTAGAACAATTGATAAAATCGCAAATAATAAAAGTTTTATTTAGTTGTCTGAGTTATGTTGAGTTTAGTTGTCAAAGGTTGATCTTTTTTTCTTGACCTTGCCTTTGTAATTGAAAACTTTATTACAAGTAATGTTTGGCAAATGACAGTTAAAAGTTTCACTCTTTATTAACTTAGTATCAGGTTGATTGGTGGTGCTTTTTTATTAACTACTATCAGAAGGTGTTTAATCTTTTATTCCTTATTCTTATCTATTCTTCGTTTCAATGGCAATTTTTATGAAGCTGCTCCACCAAATTAACAATCTATTTATTTGCACTAGAAATAATAGAAGGTATTGAGCTGGTAAAAACTGAATCATTGGTTAAAAAATTTAATTTGTTTGGTTTTAATTTTAGTAAATCTATGAGACCCATCTACAGATATATAAAAAAAAATGATAAAAAAATAAAACAAAACAAATAACAACAACAAAAAAAAACATTGTATACCTAGCTATTGTAAGTTCTAATAATCCTACTCATGTTAATATTAATAAATTTGACATCAGTTTAAGCAAAACTTTTTAAAAATAATTTAAATTAGATATGCAAAACATATAAAATCATTCAAGGTGGCTCCTATAGAAAAAACCCAAATCTTTCATTTAACTTGTTAAGTGATATGTATCACTTAACAGGGTATGGTTTTTAGTTTTGGAGTAATTTACATAAATGGAAAAAGCAGATATATAGAAAATTATAATAATATTTTATATAATATGTATAATATTGTTATAATTTTCTTTATAATATCTGCTTTTTCCATTTTCTGTATAATATTGTTACAATTATAATATAATTATATATAATAATTATAACAATGTAGAAAAGCAAGTTAAAGTTTAAATCTTAATAAGGTTTGCTACGATGTTGCTTAGGATTATCTTTCTTTCAAAACATATGTAAAAATGAAAATAACTAACTTTAATTCAAATTTTTTGAAGGTCTAGTATCCAGCATTAAAGAACAACAAATTCTAAACAAGAAACTGTTAAAAAAATTTTTCTAGAGGAACCAACTTTATTTTCTTAAGTACAAAAATGACACTAAACTATCAAACGAAATTTGAAAACTTTTTTGATATCAGAATTTGTTCTTTGCTTTGTTTAAGTTTTTTTGTATTTTGTATTTTGCAACGGTTTTTTCTTGTACATTTTATAAATACTTAGTATATATGTAAGTATATATTTTGTATATATGTATATATATATATTGTATATATGTACATATATTATGTATATATGTATATATATATATATATATATATATATATATATATATATATATATATATATATATATATATATATATTTTTTATATATTATGTATTTGTGTTTATATATATATATATACATATATACATATATTATTTATATATGTATATATGTATATATATTTTTATATATTACATATTTGTGTTTTTAGGAAGTATTACATTGGAAGGAGAATGCCATCCTAGTGTACCACTTGTAAGCTGTGAAATTAACTATTGTGATTTTGCATCTTGTCCTAACTTTCCTAATGCTGAATGTCACTTAAATTTGTGTGGGAAGTGTGAGCCAGTATACTATATTAATGGAAGGAAAATAAATTGTTATGACTGTAAATCTATCTTTATTTAAATAATATTTTTACATATTTAATATTTATTTTTAAAATTTTATATATATATTTTTACTTTCACTTTTGTTTTAAATAACAGAGTTGTAGTTTTTTTTGTTATTTTAGATTTTAATTCAAGTTTAAATAAATATTAAAAGGGTTTTTTTCTCTTAAAATATAAGGAATTTTGTTGTTTTATGTAAAAAAACAATATTATTTGTCTCTGTACTAATTTCTACTGTTTCAAAATATGAATTTTATTATATTTAGTTATAGAAAATAATTTTTTTTTTTTTTCACTGTAGTTCAGACAACTTCTCCATTATTGTTGAACTCATCGAAAAATGGTATATTTAAAATTTTTGTTTTATTTAGAATTTAAACCAAAATCTTTTTATTATCATAATAAGCATAATATATTTATATTCATTTATATTCATTATACCATATTTATTGTAAACACATCTTTCAAAAGACAAAATATTTTTTCAGGCATTATATAGTTTCTATAAACATATGTCATTTAAATCAAGTTATGCTTTATTTTGTTCTCTTATTTTTATTTATCTCGTAAGATAATCATTTGTCACTATGCTTCAAAGAACGTAAACAAGTTATTCAAGAAAATAAAGCAAATGAATTTATTGTTGATTGTGAACCAAATGGTTCATATAAGCCTATACAGTGTTGGCCTTCCGTTGGTGTGTGCTGGTGCGTTAACTCAAATGGAGAGGAGCTGTTTGGAACAAGAAGTTATTTTCCAAATAGACCAAGCTGTGAAAATTTAGGCAAGGAATATGTTTTGTTTTTTCATTAATGTTTTAAATTTAATTTTTTTTAGTTTTTTTATTAGTAATCCTTTTGTTATTATTTTGTGTTTTTTTTTTTTTTTTTACAGTTGAAGGCTGTCGTAGTAAAGAGTTTGGCTGCTGTCCAGATAATAAAACAGCAGCACAAGGTTTGAACTACGAAGGATGCTCAAGTAATTTGATCATATTTATTATTTTAGATCATAAATTTTGTATTTTTAAATGGTAAAAAAATGCTAGAAGTCAAGTAAACATAATGCAGCATTTAATGTTGCATCAGGGTTACTAATTTATTATGATAGTAAATATTTAGTATGGACAATAAATAATGGAAATTGTTTAAATTTTTATTTTTATTTTTCATTAAATCTTAAATTAAACTACTTAAATTAAAAACTGCTCAAAACTGCTATGCAATAAAGTTATGCTTATTTATAATAATCTGCTTAAAAATTGTTGATTAATTGGAATCGATACAAATGATTTATAAAATGGTTGGTTTTTCAATCGTACTTATATCTTTGGTAGCTCATTGTTTAAGTTTTCTTATATTATATATATTTTACGTGATCGTTCCATATATCACCCACAAACTCAACTTATGCTAAAAATGTTTATACTTACAGAGATTTGTATGTAGTGGTATACAAATTAATTTTTTACAAATGCTTACTTACAATGTTAAATTTACATACAAGTGTGCAAAAAAGATGCATTTTAACATTTTCTACAGTTCTTCAGCATTGGGTAAATTTGTTTTTTATTTGAAGTTTTTTCCTTTAAATCTACACATAATAAGTGTAAAAATGCGCACTTATATGATCACCACTTTTAACAACATAATTTATTTTTTTAAATATCTTACATTTCAAGAGACCAGTTGTTTACTATAATAATTTTATTCATTATTATAATTATTATTTAAAATTTGTGTACATGAATTTGCCAAATGGTCACACATAAGTAGTGAATGCCTGAGGAGAGAATAAAATAAATAATGATAAAATAAAATTAGTTTTTCCAACAAAATAAATTTATAGACAGTTAGTCCAGACAAAGATATAGCTGATAGTAAAGCAAAGGTACATTATCTATTGAGGACAATTTATTGCTTGGATTAGAAAGAATTAGTTAAATAATTTTAAAAACTTTATTATACATGCTGGTCTTCTTGCTAAACTCACTTAATACTACCCGTATGTGATGTGATTTTGAAAACTTGAATTCATCATATGAAGTGAGCTTAAGAAGAAAAGCAGCATGCCAGAATTTGTTAATAGCTTTTGATATGTCAGGAGTAATAGGTTTTGCCTCAAAGCTTCCATCTAATGCACAAAGGCAGGAGAAATTTGAATGTCTAACAATCTAGGGGCAGAAGTGATACACAAATCAAGGAGTTATGATAATGCTGCATATGAAACAAGTCACAAAATCTGAGTATGAGATTGAAAAAAAAAAAAATTAAGTTTTAGAGCCAGCAAGGTCACTGGTACTAAAGCCAAGCTATTCAGTCTGATGAGCATTAAATTTGCTATTAACAATATTGAATAAGGGATAAAAAGGAAAAGTTTGGTCAATTTGATCAGAAGTTATCAAAAAGAAGTATCAAAAAGAAGACAGTCTTGGGAAGAAAGGGAACAATAAAAAACAATAAGTAAATTAGAGTGTAGAGATGCTGAAAAAAAGCACATAACAAGATAGGATCCAAACTTGATTTCACAACAAATAGGTAAATTGATTTGTAAGCATATGCCCACATTCAGTATGGAACTATTGGAGTTTTTGTAAATAAAAAATATTAATTAATAAAATATATCAAAAATGAGATTCAAAACAAAACTGCCAAATTTAGATTAGTCTTACAAGAAGAAATTAGGTTGAGTGAACTTTGCAAGTTGTAAGATTCTTTGACAAAAAGGTATTTTGAACAATATCAATCTTTGTAAAAGATAATATTGTGGTGTTAAGAAGTGTTTTTTTTTTGCTAAAAATTTTTAGATTGTCTTTATTCATGTTTTAAATTAATAGAGAGCTTGACAGTGTATGAAATCCTAAAAATGTTTTTTAACCCTAATTAAAATTGATATATATTTAGAATTACATTTAAATTTTTTTTTTTGCTTCTATCTACTGTTTTTAAGGTTTTTTTAATTTTGGTTTTAATTTATTAAGTGTTAAAGTACATAAATTAAAAGCCACAGTTCAAAACATCAAACATTAATCTTCATGTTTAATTTCTTTAGTTGTCACGATAAAAAAAATTTTTAGAATGAAAAAAGAAATTTTATCTGGAAAATGAATTATATATATATATATATATATATATATATATATATATATATATATATATATATATATATATATATATATATATATATATATATATATATATATATATATATATATATATATATATATATATATATATACATATATATATATATATATATATATATATATATATATATATATATATATATATATATATACATATATATATATATATATATATATAATGATAACCAAGATATTAATGAAAATTTTCGTGAAAATAAATTTAAAAAGAAGTAATGATGCACAATCATGTCAATGTTCATTCAAGGAGAAGTTAAAAATATACACCTAGATCATAGGACTACAATCATGTCAAATGGTAGTATAGGAGTATAGGTTTTTTTTGGTGATTGTCTATCAAACCTTGGAATTAGGAAAAACAAGGTTGACAATAGTTTACCGACCTCAATGTTTTTGAGGTCGGCATCAGGTCGGTAAAAATTATTTGATAAAATGGTCTGACCATAAAACATAGAAACGAGGTTGGCAATTTTTTGCCAACCTAAAACACTTTCAGGTCAGCAGTTAGGTCAGCATTGCCGAATGTCGACCCTAATTCCAAGGGTTGTCTATATATAGAACCTTGCCAGTAAAAAGTTTCATAATTTATTTTAACTGTCTACGCTATTTTCTATGCCTGCAAAGTGAATGTAATTTATCATATTTTTCAAAAAAGGTGATATTTTACCAGGCTGCTGCAAGTGTTTAACTAACTTTTAATGCATATTTTTTGCTTTTAATGCATATTTTACTTAGAGTAACCACAGGTGGTTAAAGTAGACAAAATTAACAAAATATTTGCACTGCCAATCGGTAGGTATTGAACTGTACATTAAAGTACATTAAAGTCTCCAAAATTTTTTTTAATATTGCAATTTTTATCAACTTTAGGGTACAATAACTAAAAAACTGTTTAAAATTAGTGGAAAACACTTGCAAAAATATAATATTTGGGTGAAAAGCTATTACTGTACAAATTTTCAGGTAATTATGCAGTAGTGGTGTAGTGGTAGAGTGCTTGCTTTATAAATAAGTGGTTCTGAGTTCGATTCCCACCACGTCCCTGGTAGTACGTCGCTCAACTTGTTTCTCCACGCAGCGGCCTCATTTGTCAAGGTTCGTGTTTTGGAGTTATAGAGTTGAGAGAGAGTTGTTACCACAAATAAGTAGCCTCCTCGTCTGTAGAAGTCTTCTCGGCCTTGAGGAGGTGAATTAAAATAAAAAAAAATTAAAAAAAAAATTATCTATTTTATTTAAGAAGTTATGGTCTGTCAAAAATCAAAAAAACTTTTCTAATTTTGGTCAATATTGATTTGGTCATAACTGTTGAACAATTTAGCCAATCAAGCTGAAGTTTTCAATATTGTGTTTTTTTTCATAAAATCTGTGGGTGGTCAAAATTTGAAGCAAATCTGAGGTGGTACTCAGGTGCACTTTTTAAAAATTAGGTGATTTCATATGGAATAACCCATTTGCCTTTAAAACAGCATCATAGCGACGAGGTATTGATTTATCTACTTATTTAATGAGAACATCCTGAGGAGTGTTAAACCAATATTTTTTAATCAATGCAAATAAATGGTCCTTGTTAGTTGTTTTTCTACCAACTAATTGCTGGTTGATGTACTCCCTAAGATGCTCAATAGGATTAAGATCTGGGCTCTGTGAAGGCCATTTGAGAACTTTGACTTTTTGTGATTTAAAATTTTCCTTAACAGATCTGGCGCAATGCTTTGGATCATTATCTTGTTTTAAGATCCATTTGTGAGTCATTTTATGCTTTGCATGTGGCAGCATAACATTCTTTATGATGTCTAAATAAACTCTCTGGTCCATAATACCTTCTATGTGATGAATGGAACCCACATTGTCACAACTAAAACATACCCAAACCATAACATTTTCTCCTCCATGATTAACAGTAGGTAAGTGATATTTTTGATTAATCTATCTTATCTTGGCACATAATCCCGTCACTACTGAATAGCACAAACTTTGATTCATCAGAAAAAAAAGATTTTTGACCAGTCATTAACTGACCAACTGATATGATCTTTTGCAAATTTTATTTTATTACAACTTTTGTGGTTTGTATTTTAAATAGGAAATAACATAGACCATATTTGGTGAAAAATTCCAGCTTATTTAAGAAAGTTTGTGAAAAGTTATGCCGTAAAAACTGAAAAAAATTGGTGTTTCTAAACTTTTGCACGCTACTGTACATATGTATATATGAATAATATCATTTTAAGGTATAAAAAGAATAAAAAAGTAGTAAAATTATAAACATCTGTATTTTAAAATTTATTTTTAATGTTGTTTATTTTATTTTTAAAAAATTTTCAAAGTTTTTATTCAAATATTTACTTCTTAGGCTCAACTTCAAAATGTGAACAATTGAGATCAATGCCTAAGTTTTTCAATTTCTCATTTCGGCCTCAATGTGACGATAATGGTTACTTTAATTCTGTTCAATGCTGGGATGCTTTAAATCAATGCTGGTGTGTGAATAAAGATGGGTTAGAAATCAAAGGCTCAAGAGTAAATGGCAAAAAGCCGGATTGTTCTGAAGGTATTTAGATTTTTTATAAAATGTAATTTTGCTTATTGTTAATTTTTATTGAATTATATTTAAATTTGTTATATTAAATACAAGGATAATTTTAAATGTCTGGTTTAAGTCAACATTTTAAAACTCAAAGTGTACAAAATTTATTAGAACTGTGCTTATCTAAATCTGCAAAGTAACTTATTAATCAATGCGTAACTTATTAAAGTTTATATTCAAACCTTATATATTAGATCTAAACTATGAATGTTTGATTTGAAGAATTAGAAAACTAAAGTTTAATGAAAAACATCTATTGAAAAACAAACAAAAAAAAAAAGAAAGCAAATGTTGCTTTTTTTTGTTTGTTTGTTTTTTACTAGCTTCATCATGCCCAAGAGCAACAAAATAAAGATGCAAAAAAAAAAAATAAAAAATAAAACAGTTTCTATAAGTATTTAGTCAAGGTTGAAGTTTCTTCTCCACAACTGGAAAAATGTATCAAAATTTGCAAACATGCTTTTAAATGATTCAGACATTGTTCATTGCAAGAGTTTAAAAGAACTAACCAACTATCTTCAAAGAGAACGCTTGATCATTACATCAAGTTGTAATTGTTAAGAATGTTATTAAAAATGTATCTCAATCTTGACAAAAACATCGAAATTTCTAAATTTACTCAAAGATACTTAAAAGTTATTAAAAATAATTGGTATGATACTTTTATATAAAGTTAATAAAAAATATAATAAAAGTTATATAGCATAAATAAGGCACCCAAACAATTCTTACAAAAGTAAAAAATATACTTCATATAGAAAAATAAAAGATATATAACAAATATTGTATACCAAATGAATACATATAAAATAAAAAATTGACTGCAAAATCAAAAAACATGCATACAATGATATGGGGCTTAAACATGAAAAAATAAAACATTAATGCTAATGTATAAAAGTAATTTGTGTAAGAAAACAGCGTTCCTGGTGGAGTGATATTTACTCAGAAAATTTTCTAGCAGAGGAATCTTTAAAACATTTGGTCTAAGAACCATTCACAACAAGTTGGTTGCCACTGAATCAAATAAAAGCTAATTTAAGGAGTTCAACAATACTTCTTTGATCATGGGTAAAGACTCTAAACATGTTCAGCATTTGATCTCACAAACAGAGCTCACTTTAATTAAGAGTTTGCTGACTATCTTTTTAGGAAGTTTCTACAGTGTTGATGAAAAGAAAGAGATTGGCCTGCAAAGCTAAACATTTAGACGCAGCCATTTTGTGGTAGTCAATTTGCTAGGAATGAGTGACTCTTAAAGTACATTCTGTTTTCTACCATACTTGAGAATTTGTTGAATTCTATGGAAATACACTTGAGATTTCAGTGAACAGTCAACAGTAACAATGAATTCAATATTAAAAAATCATTGAAAAAATATGCAAGCCACAAATCCGATCCTGATTATGGGTCTAGGCTTTTGCAGTTCGTTGGCTTCAACAAACATTAGTGAAGTTGTTAAAGAAGCTACTTACCATTTGAATGAAAAATATGATACAAAATTTCACTTAAATTTAGTATTGTACAGTAAAATCATATTTATTTTAGTATTTCCCCCTTTTTTGTTAACATTATTTATAAAAATTTGGTTTAAACATATGCATACTCAAATTTAAATAATGTCTGAAAATTACACATTTCAAACACCAAAAAAAAAAAATGCCACATCTGTATTTTATATACATATTTATGCTATATTTGCTGACCTAAATCCAGAACTTTTTTTTAAAAAAAAGGAGAGAAAAAAAAAAAGAATAATAAAAAAAAAATTCTTGATGCCCAAACCCATCAATTCCCTTGCATTTTCTACCTATATCATTCAATATATCAGGATGGCCACGCCTCCTAAAAAATCCTAAAATGTCCTAATATTTGAAAAACATCCTAAAAAGACCTAATTTCTCCTAAAGTATAGATGATTTTCTCAAATACTCCTAAATTCTCCTAATTTATTTGTCCTGAGTATAATGCATAAACTATTATCAACAATAAAGTTAATGAAATGGATCAGACTTGGAGTTGGTGCTGTTGTTTACTGACAGAAAATAATTTACTCAAATGTATATTTTTGTAATATTTTAATAATTTAAAGGTTTTATTCTAATAAAATTTATTCTTTTTTTTCTTATTTCTGCCTAAATTCTGAACATCAAAATTATTTTTATTAAAACTTTGTTTTAATTAAGTTGACTTAAAATAATTTTGTACGTTCAAAATAGAAAATGTCAGTCAAATATAAAGCCAAATTTTAAAAGCGGTTAAAAGACAATAAATATAAAAATTTATATTTGGTTAAGTATTATGTTATTATGTTATGTATGTTTGATGATTTTGTTATTTCCGGATATCTTTCTTTGAACTACTTCTTTTTGCCATAAGTTTTTTTCTAAAAATATATTTTTGTAATACCTTATTTTATTTATGATTTTTTTATTTCCGGATATCTTTCTTTTAACTACTTCTTTTTGCCATTTGTTTTTTTCTAAAAATATAATTTTGTAATACCTTTTTTTTGTTAACTTTTTGAATTATCACTTATCATAAAGTTGAGAAAACCACCAGCCAAATGCTATATTTATAAAATAAATTATTCTTGTTTTTTTTAACATTGGTTTTTTTTTTTTTTTGCAAAATATATTCTGAATTTTTTTAATATAACCTATATGATTGCTGTATTTTTAAAAGTTTTATATGTTGCAGATCTGGATACAAACACATTGAAAGTACAACTTAATGAAAAAAACATGTATTTTTGAATGTTATATGTACTATGTGTTTGAAGGTTATGTCTGTTGCAGATCTAGATACAAACACATTGAAAATACATGTTAATGAATAAAGATATAAACAATATATGCCTGTGAGTGATAAATGAAATACAAACAGTCATTTAGCCACCAGTAGAGCTAAAGGCTCTACTGGTGTAGAGCCTTTATAACTTAAGTATACACTGTGTTAAGTATACACTGTAATTATAACTTAAGTATACACTGTGTATACTTTAGTAATAATTGTTTAATGGTATAAATTTAACATGGTAAATTTAACATGTTAACATGGCTAATATTTAACAGCATAAGTTTTGAAAATTTTTTATAACATGCTTTTGCATATTGACAAAATTTAGTTTTTTCACATATTCATTGTATTAATTTATTTATCTATGTATGCATATATATTTAATATATTATGAAAAAATGTTATTATTTTTTTTTAACTATTTATTATAAAAAATGTTGTGTTCTGTTATTTTTTCTAATTTTACACTGCCATAATGTGCAAAAAAAGTCAGTTTTTAATACCAGGTGCATAAGTTTTTATACTTTCAAATAGTACTTTTTTATTCTAATTTCTAGCTCTACTTTTTTCTTATTTCTGTCAGTGGCAATTCTTGGAAAATTATTTTTGTTCACATTTTTATTTTACTAAGTTAACCTAAATATTTTTGTATTTTTAGATTAGAAAATGTCAGTCAAATATAAAACTAAATTTCAAGATCATTGGTTAAATGACAATAATTATAAACAATGGGTACAAAAATGTCCCAACGATTTGTATTCGGTAAAATGTAAGGTATGTTTGAAAGTCATTACTGTCGCATATCTGGGTACAAAGGCATTGGAAAAACATGCTATTGGTAACAAACACAAATAATGTATGCCTGTCTGTGATAAATATGCATTGAAAACTGTTGTAGAACCACTAACTTGCCCAAAAGTGGCACTGTGTCCACAGCAAGCTTCTATTGTATTTATTTTAGAGTCACAGTTAGCAAAGAAAGCAGAGATAATGTGGGCAGTTGATGTTGTGCTTTCAAAACATTCTTTTCGATCAAGTGCAAACAAATTTGAATTATTTACTGCAATATTTAGTGATAGTCAAATAGCAAAACAATTTTCTTGTGGGAAAACAAAGTGCACTTATCTTGTGTGCTTTGGAATTGCGCCATATTTTAAGGAAATTTTGTGTGAGACATTATCAGAACTTGATCAGTTTGTTTGCCAATTTGATGAATCTTATAACCAAGTTGTCAAGAAAAGTTAGATGGATTTGCATGTTAGATATTGGGACTCCTCATTAGAGATTGTAAAAACAAGAAATTTCAACTCAAAAAGAATTCTTGGGAAAAGCTGCTGCTGTCAATATTATGATAAATTTCTGTAAATGTATGAGTGGTTTAGAAGAAGATAAAATGCTCCAGGTTTCCATGGATGGTCCAAATGTTAACATGTCTTTCCTCTCTAATTTGAAAGAGAAGTAAATGTAAAGTCAGTCAGTTAGTATCAATTAGATCATGCAGCCTTCACACAATGCACTGTTCATTCAAGAATAGTACAAATGCTTCAGGATGGAAATTGAACAAATTGATGTCTTCATTGTATAAGATATTCCATGAGACCCCTTCTCTTTGTGCTGATTTCAAAAATCTCACTCAGGCTCAATCTTCAGACTATGCTCTACAGTTCTGTAGCCATCGTTGGATTGAAAATGAAAAAGTAGCAAAGAGAGCTATGGAAATATAGCCATATTTCCATAGCTCTATTTGCTACATTCTCCTTTTCAATCCAACGATGGCTGCAGAACTGTAGAGCATAGAGCAAGACTGAGCTTGAGTAAGATTTTCGAAATCAGCATGACGAGAAGGGCTCTCATGGAATCTCAAGATTATTGTGATTATTGACTTTTGGAAAAATTTACCAAAAAGCAAGCAACCTGGTCAATGTAAGCCCGGGCAAAATACTAGTTATGAATACCTTTCTTCATGCTATAAAGATGTGTTAGTCCCTAAAAAGTTGTAATTTTTTAATGAAACTGCGAAACTGTTAAATTCTTTTTTGCTAGTTTTCCAAACCGACAATCCTATGACACCTTTTTTTGTGGAAACACTTGAGAATTTACTAAGGCTATTTTTATCAAAATTTATCAAAAAAGAAGTTTTGTCTGAAGCATCAACAACTTTTAAATTATTAACAGTTAATATCAATGATGCCAAAAATCAAGTGTTGGTCGCAAATACTTATCTTGGGTTTGGAATAAAATATGAGTTAAACAGTTTTTAGTTACAATGTGCAAACATATGGTTGAAAAAAGTGCTCTAAACTCATACTTTGCCAGATACTTATTATGTTTATCACCTTTGTACATGGTTGAATCTCATAAGATGTGTGAACTTTAGTCCCTGAATGCTTTAAAAACTGACCGTGATACTAAACTGAAAAATTTTAATAAAGAAATTACTAGTTATAATGAACCAATCATTATAAGAGATTACTAGTTACAATGTACCTTCAAGGGTGTGACCCTTGAAGGTGCCATACTTCAGCTCAGATATGATGCAGATGAGTATGCGTTGCAAGCGGAAAAGCAGAAATCATTGATAGAAATAAAGTCAACAATTCTAAAATCTAATGCACTAAAGAGAGTTGTCTCTGAAAAACAGGATTTACTAGAAAAAATTACAGCATCAAAAAAAGTTATTGACAAAAAAGCTGAGATTTAGATTTGGATGTTTAAGATTTTCAATCGTTTTGTTTTTCTAATTTGATTATTTCTTTTTATGACTGGATAATATAAAACAAAGTTTAGTTTTGCTGTGTATTTTAATGATTTTTGATTATTTATTGTTTGTTACTTAGTCATAAAGTCATCTTTTTAGTAATGTTAAATTTATTAAATTTCTAATGCAAGTATGATTTGTTTTTAGTTGATATTTTTGTATGTGTAGAGATGTTAGACTATTTTAAATAAGAGTGTTTGGGTCCTAATTTTATCTTAATTATTTTAGCTAGGCATTCTTACAGTTTTTAAAGAAAATAAAAATTTTTTAGTGCCACTTTATTTGTGAAATCCTCCTAAAATCTCCTAGACTTTTATCCATTTTTTTTCAAATTTTCCGATAAATCTCCTTAAAAACCTTTAAAAGCATTCTATATTATCTTAAATTATCCTAATATTTTTAGACAAAAAAAGTGTGGCCACCCTGTATATGTACTCAAGCCTTTGTAGCTCTCTATATCAGTATGACAACTGATTGCCTATATAAGTTTTATATATATAAGTTTAATGTTACATACAAATATAATGGGTTATGAATAAATTTTAAGATTGAAATAAAAACCTTATTTTTGGAACAAAAATTTTTACTTGAAACACAAAACTTAAAAAAAATAATAAAAAAATGTATTTTTTTAGTATTTAAAGGGAAAAGAAAAATTAGACACCAAATCTTCTTTATAGTCAAGGTTTTTCCTTACACCCAAAATTTGGTTTTGTACCAACTCAAGATTCATTTTGTCAAGACAGTAGATAATTTAAATAGATAATTTCAACTCATCAAGATTCTTTGCTGTCCAATCACCTTCATAAACTTTATTTTATTAGCTTCCCCAAAAATCTTCTATTGGACATGCTTTAGGATCGATCTTGGTTACAAAATTAATTTTTTGCTCATTTGAATAATTTACTAAAAAAAAAAAAAATATTTAATGATTTTTAAGCAATGGCAAAATATATAAACATTAAGAGTTTTTGCATAATGAGCAGATGCCAAGTCTGGCCAAAATAGGTACTCTCTTATACTATAAACTTTATTTATAATAGGTACCAAATACTTTTTAATTAAGGTTTCCAGGTCAAATGTTTGGTTCACTGCCATTCCTGAATGAATAAAAAATAGATTTGATACGCTTTTTTTAAAATTTAGCTTAAAATCAAACTTTACATGTAGGGAGTCAGAGTTATTTTAAACAGAGTTGCCAGGCTGTGGCGAATGAGTTTAATTAATAAACGATTCATCGTCTAAAATAAAGTCAACATATATATATATATATATATACATATATATATATATATATATATATATATATATATATATATATATATATATATATATATATATATATATATATATATATATATATATATATATTATATATATATATATATATGTATATATATATATATATATATATTTATATATATATATATATATATATATGTATATATATATGTATATATATATATATGTATATATATATATATATATATATATGTATATATATATGTATATATATATATATGTATATATATATATATATATATATATATATATATATATATATATATATATATGTATATATATATATGTGTGTGTGTGTGTGTGTGTGTGTGTGTGTGTGTGTGTGTGTATTTATATGTGCATGTAATGTTAAAATGGATGCAGTTACCAGTAACATGGTTGAATGATTTTTAAAAAATGAATTTAGAATGATATATTTTATTTAGATCCAAATAATTTCAAGGTAAATTAATATAGCTATTCCAATTTTTGAACCTTTAACCAATTTAATAAATAAAAAATTACAAAGGAAATTTTGAAAGCTGAACTAATAGATTTAAGAAAAAAGTGGAAAATATTTAATGCTACATTAGCAGTAAAAGTGAATTTTTTTTGATGAAGAGAAAATTACAGTAAGATCATGCAAATCATGCACAAATTGTATTGTATGCTGTAAATTTATATACTTTATAAATATACAAAATATATTTATACAAAGTATAAACATATTTTAAATTGTTTAAGTTAAAAACATTTGGAAGCATTTATGCTCATGGCATGTAAAAAAGATAGAGTTACTAATGTACCTTCATCATCAATATTTCCCAGGTCTAAATCTTTTTTCGGTCCAGCTCTAGAATGCATATTTATTACTTATAAATTTAAAAATATACATATTTTTAAATTTATAAGTAATAAATTTACAAATAATAAATATAAGTAATAAATTATTATTTGAACTAATTTAAAAAACAATATTATGCTTTTTATCTACTTATGATGTATATATTCATACTTTATGCTTGGTTTTTTTTTTGGAATTGTTCTAAGCATTAACACTGGAGTTTACAGACTCTTTTCTTTTATATTATTATATTGTATGTTAATTAAGTTTGTTTGAATTAATAAATTAGGCATAAGTTAGGAAAATATAAAAATTTTTTTTGGAATAAATTAACAAATAAGGAATGAATTAGGAAATTAAAAATGTCAAATCCAAGATATCTTGTTACCATTATGAATAAGTATGTTTAACTGATAATTAAACATAAAATAAAATTTTATGTTTAATTATCAGTTGTTGTTATTTTTTTCGTTTATTAATTTTTATTAAAGTTAATTATTTCTTAGCAATGTAGTTCATTTTATACTAAAAGTTTAAAAACATTCATTTTATAAAAAAAATTTATTTCAATTTTTTTATTTAGACTAAACTTTAATATAAAATAAAGAAATAGTTTAAGGAAATTCAGTTCATTTTAGTTTTTTATATTTAGTACTTTTATTAAATAACCTTCATTTGTAAGTTAAATCACATATAAATATACTGAGACAAATTTTTCAACTCTTTTTTTATTGTTTGTAAATTTACTTTTAGCTATTTGCGAAGACAAGAGAAATGATTGCCAAAAATTTGCTATTGTGCCTGAATTTTGTCTGCGATTAAATCATTTTGCAAAAGAATATTGTAGGAAATCATGTGGTTATTGTCCAGGTATTATTTCTGAATTCAATAAAAATAAAAGATACTTCCAGTTATCAAAATTAGTTATTTTTATCATTTAAGTTATATATAGTTGATCATTTTTTATTAAGGTTTTGTTTTGTGTATTATTTTTAATAGGTTAGACAAACACTTTATGAAATAAATACTACTTGAGCTAATTTTTGACAGAAAGTTATTAGATATTAATGTCTGCAAGAAGTGAAAATGTAGAGTGGGAAGGAAGTTTTACTAATAAATAACTTTGTTTTTTTGATAACAAAGTTATTTATTAGTTTAAAAAGTTCCTTAATTTTACAGTATGTTGTTAAATGTTCTCAGAACTTTCAGAACTTTTTCTTTAACTCATTGCTTAAATCTAATGGCTACACTCTTCCTGTCATACCAATGAAACAGGTTAATTTGTTATTAGAAATCAAAATTGTTTCTACCTCTGTTACTCAAGTTATTTTTTACATAAACTCAACTACAGCTTAAACCACAAGCTGAAAAAACTTATTTACTAAAATACTATAATTTTGTTCTTATTTTGTTCATATTTTTTGTTCTGCATTATTACTAGATAATGAAAACATTAATGTACTTTGCATACCAAGCTCCTAGCTGGGCGTAGGGTGTCATTCTTTCTTTTACCCTATCAGGTTGATATCTGAAAATTCTCAATTGAAACAGAATGTGGAAGCATCTTTAAATTTGTTTTTTATTATGTTAAAAAAAGTTTAAAGTAAATTGTAAACATAATAAAATAAGTAGCCCTAGATTTTTTAAGTTTTACATAGCTTATAATATTGTTTTTGATGCGTTGACATCTTTTTTAGTATTTTAGTATTACGCATTCTTACAAAAATTTTTTCAAGAGTTTTCTTCATTACTCTTTAAACCATTTAACAAGAATCTTGTTGTTTTGTTACAAAGGTTGCTAACCATTTAAGCAGAACGCTTGGGTTAGGTGAACAGTAAAGAAGATTTAACATAAACAATATAAACCAAACAATTCGTACAAGAACCAAAACGCGTCTAGCGTCTGTGGAAATTGTATAAAAACGCGAAGAAGATGAGATATGGTATGTATGTATGTATGTGTATGTGAATATAGATATAGATATGGATATGGATAATTAGAGAAAGACATAAAGAAGAGAGAAGAACGAGAAGATAGTTGGTTGAAGACGATAAGTCCAGTGAGCAATTTAATAGAAGTTACTGGTCGTTTAAAAGTTGGACAATACTGGGGTGTTGGCAACTAATACTACATGTTTTAACTATATTGTATCAATTATTTTGTAATTATTTTAATTTTGAATAAACAATTGAGTAACGTTGTTATTGCATAATATATTATGTAACAGTTTTAAATGCTGAATCTTGTTTTTTATCCTACTGCAAAATGGCATCTTTGGTTCCTATTCATCATATCATTATTCATATTACTATTAGCAAAGTCTTTGAATCTTTTCTTGAGTTTAACTTTATGACAATAAGTAAGAGTTTGATTGTCTCATTCTGTTGCTGACTTGTTGGTTATTGTAGCAAACAGGTTCTATTGTGGATGGATACGGTGGGGTAAGGGTTATTGCTTTTAATATATCAAAAGCTTTCAATGTAGTCTGACATTCTTGTCTTCTCCATGAGCTCACCTTCTGTGGTGTGTGTAGAATGATTTCTAAAATAATTGAATTATTTCTTTTTAATTGCAGTATTGGCTCTTTTTTTTCTTGCTGGAAGATACTTTTTTGGAAGTTGCCAAGTGGTTGTTAATGCAAAATTAAAACTAAAATACCTAAAGAATACAATAATAGAATAAAATACTTAAATACTTAAAATACAAAATACTTAAAGACTGACTATTCTTTTATTAAGTAATAAAAGAAAATGTATCAAATATTCAGTGTTAATATTAGTATGTAAATATATCAAGTATTCAGTGTTAATAAATAAACATCTAAAAAATTGGAAATCATTGTCAAATTTATACAGTGATTGATTTTTTACAAAATCAATCACAGTTCTATAAGCAAATGTATGTGCAATAACTTCAATAAAAAGAGTTTAAAAACTTTAGGTTACAAAAGAGTTGAAAAGTTTTCTGAAGTTAACACGTTAAAATTGAAAAGCTGCATATTATATTTAGAACTGCAACATTATTTTATTTCTATGATTCAATTTGTTAGGTTGATGGAGGTAATCGAATCAAAATTCTGAATTTGTGAGGTGGAGTAGCAATCTTTGTCACTAAAAGTATTTTTTCGTTCTAAATTCAAAGGGTATCCTTTAATATTAACTTATAAATTATTGCTTTTGAACAGAGCTGATACTCTATTCACTCCTACAATTAATCAATTATCTTGGCTGCATTTATAGAGCTCTACAAAGTTACAATAACAGTTTTAAAATTCTGCAAATGGCAATGAAATACTAAATTCAATTACATTTGCAAACAATACAGCAAAAACTAAAAATACCTTTTAAACCCTGGAGACCTTGAACCAAATAGTTCAACAGCAATCAATATTGATATGTTTATTGATATATTTATTTTGTAAACAAATAAGTGGTAATTAAACTATTCCAGATAAAAAATTTTTTGGTAAAATTTAGTTTAGCTGTCAGTTACCTCTCATTTGTTTACTATTAAAATTGGCTATTAACTCTAATAATGCATCCACTCAAGTTTGGCTACCAACACAATTTGGCTATCAACACAAATAATTTTTATAGTTATTCCTCTTTCCTTTAATCTTGGTTCCGAAGTTTGTGTTTTCAATCTTGCTGGTCATGTCTTCAACATAAATTGAAAATAAAAAATGTTGTTTAGGGGTTTCTTGGTTGACTCAAACTGATGTTTTTAAGATGCTTGAACCATCATCTCCTCTAGTAACATATGCTAATAAGTATGAACAATGCTTGTATAATACACAACTAATTTTTTCTATTAGTTTGTGCATCATGGTTTGTCTATCTACTTTGCTAAATGTTTTACTAGTATCAATGGTATGTTTTGTGTATTAGACAAGTTTGTGTGTTTTGTGTATTAGATAGGTATTATAATTATTAAATTTTAATTAGCTGTTACCTTCAATTCATAAGTAGTATGATTGCAGGAGCTGTTTTTCTTGAGACCAAAATTTCAAATTAAGTTTTCAAGCCTCAGTCGTAGCAATTTTTTCAAATATGTTTGATTGGATTTGATGTCATGATTGACTTGGTGTTATTCAGATTGTTTGGATTCGCATCTTTTACACTTCGAATAATGATAATGGTGTTGTATTATTTTTAAATTAATAATTTGATACATGGTAATGCTTTTACAACCATATATATATATATATATATATATATATATATATATATATATATATATATATATATATATATATATATATATATATATATATATATATATATATATATATATATATATATATATATATATGTATATATATATATATATATGTATATATATATATATATATATATATATATATATATATATATATATATATATATATATATATATATATATATATATATATATATGTATATGCTAATAAACTTTGTAAAGTACTTTTGCAAAGTAAAAAACACTTAAAAGTTTCATAAGACCTTTTTGCTAAAATTTGTTTGTATTTTTCTAATATTTTAAAGTAATGCACAATAATAAGATTTATCGGATTTTTATTAGATTTTGTTCATTATCACATTAAGATGAATTTAACATTTGATTGGTAAAAGTTAAATATAAATATTTTTATTTAAATTACCAATATAATATTGCAATTTATTATAATAATTTAATATGTTATTATATTTTATATTTTTAATGCAATATTATAATATTTAAATATAAATATAATTGGTTATAATTATAGTTTTTTAACTAATAATTTTATATAATGCAATTCAAATATGTTATTCTCTTAGTTACTTGTGTAAATATGCTATTCTCTTAGTTACTTGTGTAAATATGTTATTCTCTTAGTTACTTGTGAGGACAAAAATGACAATTGCCCAACATTTGCAAAAGTTCCTGAATTCTGTGTTCATTTGAACCACTATGCAAAGGAACATTGTAGGAAATCATGTGGTTATTGTCCAGGTAATTTATTTTATTACCGCTGTATTGGCAAATTATATGTCATATCATATATCAGTCCTTTATTTTTAAATTATCATATATAATATATTAGTTCTGTAATTTTAAGTAGTCTTATATCAACAGGTATGTTAATAATCATTATAATTTGATTTATAACTAAATAAATTTTATATAACTTTATAATGTCAATTGCAACTGCAGACTTAAGGTAAAGTTGGTTAAAGTATAGCTCATAAAGAAGAGATGTAACTCAAAATTATAAAAAAAAAGTGTAGTTCAAAAACAAGCACTAAATAAAACCATTCATCCAACCAAAAGTAGAATTCTCCAAAAAGACTTTGCTCCTATTGCAACTTTAACTCAGTCAAGAGTTGTATGCAGAAATTGATGAATAAGCAAGAACATTTTTTTTGGCATGAAATCTCACAAAAGTGAGACTTCATTACCAGGCTTATTTAATGATTGCTGAAATTAACTTTAAATTTAAAGTTATTTCTTGTGCTCTCCTACACGAAGGCTGTAATTTTATTTCTGCAAACTGGAACAAAGTATGATTTGGTAACAAATACCATGAATAAAATAATATTAATAATAAAAATATTTTTAAGGTTTGCTAAAGGAAGGCATTTATTTTTGAAATACATAAATAATCATTAACTAGTTAAATGGGGTTTCAATATTTTCAAGTTTATATATATATATATATATATATATTATATATATATATATATATATATATATATATATATATATATATATATATATATATATATATATATATATATATATATATATATATATATATATATATATATATATATATATTATTACGCTGCTTAATTTTAGAACTTAATTTAAAGTTTTTTTATCAAGGATTACCCAATACTTTTTAACTTTGTCAAGTAATAACTTTTTATAATTACACAATATATAACACAACTTGTCTCGGCACTTTGGGATCCCTTTTTAAAAATAAACTATATATATATATATATATATATATATATATATATATATATATATATATATATATAATATACATTAAATGATGATTTAAAATATGACAATTAAATTACTTAATAGTCACTTATAAACTGTGGTTATGATATAAAAAGATGCTTTAAAGTTAACTTTTGTGGTGTAGTCATGAAGTCATATCTAAAAAATTTCAATATAAATTGTTTTAGGTTGTGGAGATTCTAAAATAAAAATTTCCTAATTCAAAGACTCGCAGTTCTTGACTTGTCGAGGTTCAAAAAACCATCTAAATGATCTATTGATTTTTTTTATTTTTTGTGTTTACTATGTGAAAAAATATTTCTTTCCCATAACAATTGGATTTTTTAATTTTAAATGGGTTGAAGACAAAAAAGTTTTTTTAAGTAATTAACAAAGGTATTGTATTAACCTGTTGTTATCCTGTAAATAATATAGACTTTATCAATTTATGGTTGATTTAGACAGTAAAATAATATTTTACAACCTGGTTTAAGTTATTTATTAGCTTTTTTATTAAGCTTAAGTTATTTATATAAGTTAAAAGCTATTTGCTAATAGAATTTGATTAATTGTAATACAAGTCTTATAATAAGTCGTATTTGTCATAATCATCTTAAACATTATCTTAAGCAGCAGAATCAGAGTTCTCCCACTTTGTTCACTGATCTGAACACTTTAAAATTGGTTTTATATACAATCACTTTATGAGGTTCAATACACTTTCTAGCACTAGGGTTAGCACTAGATTCATAAACCATTTACTGTTGACTCCTGCTTCTTTAATCAACCTAAATTCCCATACGGTTAGTTGCATTTTGTCTATTATTTTTTTGCGCGGCAGCTAAACAAAGTAATCCTGCATCTTTTGTTTCCGCCAGACTTAGATGTTGCACTAACCATTTTTATAGCATTTTTATATAAGTTTTTTATTATTTAGTTAAAAAAAATATTTTATTAATGAATAAAAACAAATAAATTATGTAGCTATATTGTTTACTGCCCATATTTCAAGTTCCTACTTTTTATTTTAGCCACCTAATAATTCTTATCTCACCATATTACATGGCAACATAAAATATTCAAAACTGAATTGATATTTTGATCAAACCTTCTCATTGCTACAGAATCACTATATTTATACAAATTTTTTTTTAAAAAAAGGAAGCTTTGTAACCATTTTATGCTACTAAAACATTACCCAGCAAACATTGATACAGATACTGTTTGGATTGTTAACTGAGGCTCATTTGGGATGCCCTCCAGGATCCTACCTATTTTTACATTGGTTTCCATCTGGAGCTCATATGGGTTAGCCTGCTTGATATTCTGTATGGGTCCCAATAAAATACCGTATTATAAAACTGTATCCCATATACATTTGCAACTAGAATCTATATGAGAAACTTACCAGAAACCCACTGGATTTTGGCTGTTGTTTACATGTGGAACCATAAGATTTAACCCATATGAGAACCAATGCAAATATTGCAAAGTTACTATTAAAATGTTTAATATATAAAAGATAAATTACATAATTTCATTTGCTTATTTCAAATAAAATAACCATTAAAATTACATTTTTATTGGAAAATATATCAAAGAAATTTTAATCATGTAATCATGTCTTAACTGTTGTCTCACAAATTAAAAGCTTTTAAAATGTTTTTAAAACTGCTTCTTTGAGCAACTCTTGATTGATCTAGTATTTCGTTTCAAACTTTCATTTCGAACTGTAAAAAATATTAAACTGTTAGTATTGAAATTTACACATTAAGTTATATTTTTATTTAAATGCATTATAAAATTTAGGTTTTGTCAGATATCTTTGTCAGATATAAAAATGCATTTTCTCACAATAGTCTAATTGTGTGTAATAATAAGAGAGATTATTTTCACCAACCATTGTATTACTAATTCTTTAAAAGGATTACATTTATACTCACACGAGTCACTGACTATTTATCATTATTATTATACTTATATTTATTAACTTGTCATTATTAAAATTTACTAAAACTGCAGAAATTATAACTATTTAGTTCTAAAGTTAATTTTATTCATCGGTATCTAAATGACAGTCAGTGTGCAGCTATTGCAAATCATCAGACAACTATTGCAAATCATCATTTAAAAAAATTTGCTACAAAAAAATGAAAAATATCATAATTATGATACATATTGTATAAAAATACTGTTTTGGCCCACTAACTTGGAGCTTAACTTTGGAAAACTATTAAATCTTTTGGGCTAGAGGATTTGTTATTTAATCATTTTCAATTAAATCTATTGATTATTTTAAGTAAAGTTTTACAACTGGATGACTGCAACGAAGATTTAATACGAAGAATTTAGTGTTGGGAAGATGGAGTTGAAGCAAAAGAAAATAGGATAGAGGGTATGGGAGCTAAAGCAAACTTTATTGTTAGTTTTTAAGCAATAGGTTCATAAGAGATATAGTTGTATGAAAATTTCTTTTTTAATTGTTGGCGTAGAAAATATACTTTTGGATAATAAATATAAATTAATAAAAAATGTGGTAAAATAATGAAATAGTGGAGAAAAGATAGAGTGTGTTGATAAATCTATTATCTATGTTATCTTGGAGATACAATTCGATGATGTAGCAATCAGATGGTGCAGCAGAAGAAACCTCATAGAAAAAAAAAGTATGACTGGGCCAAATTGAGAAAACTATCTTCACTTCAAACAGCAAAAGGTACACCATTAAAGGTTAAAACAAAGAAAAGACTTACCTTTATAGGAAAAAATAAGACGTCAAAAAATGTAAGGACAGAAACATGTGATATAATATATATACATATATTTTTGCTTCCATTGTGTTAAATTTTGTTCAAGTATTTTTTTGCCTTTCAACAAGTTAAACAAATTTCTGGTATTATGTGTGGGTTCTTTTTATAACTATTATTGTTATAAGTGGGATTATAACTGTTGCATTTTCTACTAGACATTCTAGCCCTGATGTTAAGTGTTATTGATGAACCAGATAATCTTTTATTATTGGTTTACTTCATTCTTTTTTGGTGAATTTTTGAGAAACTTTTAAATAATAATATAGATAATAAGTGCTTCCTGCAAGCGTAACTATAAATTTGATGTTATATTATATGATCTTTAATAATATTAAAGATCTTGATGATGATGAAACAATCTTTCCAACAAAGTTTAGAGAATTCTCTGCAAAAATTTTGCCTTCTGCTACCAACTTGGCTCCTTTTATACTTAAATTTGCATTTGTACTTTTTAAGTAAACAATACACCAATGATTCTGCATAAATTAACAAGCTGGTACAAAGTTTACAATTCTACTGACATTTTGTTTATGGAATTCAAAAACATTGTTGATGTGTAATTTATGGAACACAATTTTAAAAGTTTTCGCAGTTAATGTTTTTATTAGTGGTCTTCTGTAAAATACATGAACATTAAATCAACTAGAAAAAAAAATGGCATAAAGAAAACGAAAAACACAATAAAATTGAAAATTAAAAATTAAATGAGCTATATCTTTCAAACTGAATTTTCTTATTTTTCTCATTTTTCTAGTTGAGAAAATTTAACCATCGATTTTTATACTTTAAATTGCTTAATAGTTTGTAAAATGGTTAGAACTTGTGACTGCAATATGAAACTGAACATTACAGTTAGATGGCCGTGGTCTATTATTCTATTTAAATAATAGACCACAGGCCAAAAAATGCTCCATTGTCTTTATTCAATCCAAACACATTAAACAACAATCCAAACTATTAAGTTAATTGAACTAAATTTATTTTGTTTAATTAATTTAATTAATTCATTAATTAATTTAATTATCATTAATTAATAAACCATCTATTAATTAAATTGAACAAAATCAAAACAAAAGTTATAAACCATTCTAAACCATTCCATACTTAGTATGGAATTGTTTAGAGTTAACTTTTGTTAATTAGCATAATTAATTGACATACTTTAGGTAAACTAATTGGCATAATTTAGGTAAAATTATATTAAAAAATAAATATTTTTATTATTATATTTTTAGAGACAATCCCTACCCAGATTTCTCCAACACATCTGACAGAGGTAAAATGAATTGCATTCAACCAAATAGGATTATAATTATATAATTAAATTATTATTATTATTTAATGCTATTTATTTGGAAAATGTTATACACTTTAACTTTGAATTTTAAGATATTTGTAATGGAAAAAGATTTTGATGAATTCAATATTATAATCTTTTTTAAACACATGTGTTTTTTGTATTTTGTATTTATAATATTATAAATAATGGTAGTTATAATATTCAATAAACTTTTATTTATTTTTAGCTTGTAGCTGATGTAAAAGGTAAATAAGCAAAATCCTGGTTTAGTATTTTTCCTGTAATTTTTTTACATTTATCAGAATTTAAAAAAGTTAAATGATATATGACATAAATATATCATATATAATTATTTATATATGATATATGATATATGATATATGATATATGATATATGATATATGATATATGATATATGATATATATATATATATATATATATATATATATATATATATATATATATATATATATATATATATATATATATATCTTCCTTTCCAACAAGGCTGCAAGCAACCACTAATTAGTGTTGGAAGTTACTGGAAGAGAAAAGATGAAGATTGTAGAGCAAGATAATGATTGACAGATGACTCAATCAGGAAAGCAAGATGAAGGAATTCCAAAGAACTGATGTTCGAGGGAAAAAACTAGACAAATAAGAGTTTTTGGAGCTCTTAGGAACAGTAACAGAAAAAGGATGAGACTTAATTGAATGATGAGTAACATGAGAATAAATTTTAGTAGATGGCACAAGAGACGCTTGCTCTTTAGAGCATCACTTATTATAGTATTTGTAGAAAAGAGAAAGAGAAGCAACATTACGACGATGTGACAAAGGTTGGCTGCAAGACCAGGTCCAACTATGTTTACAATGCATTTTTGCACCTTTTCTAAAAGAGAAAGGAGATCATTAGAAGATCTGCCCCAAATATAGCAACAGTATTCCATACAAGGCTGGATTTGAGATTTATAAAGATAGAGAATAGAATCCAGAGTAAGAAAGTGTCGAGCTTGATAAAGAGATGCAACTTTAGCAGATGCTAATTTTGCAACGGATATGATATAAGGTTTCCAAGAAAGATCAGAAATAAGAGTTAATCCTAGAAGATGAAGGGTAGATGACACATCGAATACATTACTGTTCATAAATATAGAAAAGTCTAAATTATTGCGATAATGATTGGCTGAAAAAAATTGAATTTTATCTGAATGAAAGTTCACCAGCCACTGTGAGCCCCATGCTCTAGCAGAAGTAAGATCCTTTTCAAGCTCAAATGCCCTCTGCAAGCAATCAGAAGGAGTTGGCTTCTTATTGTGACAAGAATAAATGGTAGTATCATAAGCGAACAATGCCACCTTAGATGTGAGAATATTGGGAAGGTCGTTAATGTAAATTAAGAGTATAGGGCCAAGGATTGAACCTTGACGCACCCCTTAGTTTACAAAATAAAAAGAAGAGTGCTGTCCATCAAGGACAATTTTTATACTACGATTGGAAAGGAAGGATTCAATAATCTTAAATATAATTCCAGATATACCGTAAGAAGAAAGCTTATGGAGAAGACCAGCATACCAAACTTTATCAAACGCTTTAAAAATGTCAAGAGCGATGATCTTAACCTCTCCACCAATATCTAATGCGCTATAAAACCTATCGGTTATTACTGTTAGCAAATCAGCCGTAGAACGAGAAGATCGAAATCTATATTGATGATCAGAAAGTATGTTATTAGATTCAAGATAAGAGATTAAGTGTTTGTTGATTTAAGATTTAAAAACCTTGCTTATGATAGGAAGAAGACTAATGGGACAGTAGTTAGACGAATCAGATCGCTCTCCAGAATTTTTAAAAATAAGGATAACAGATGCTGCTTTCCAGCAGACTGGAAAACAAGACTCTGATAAACACTTGTTGAATAGTTTTGAAAGGATAAACAACAGCTCCGGAGAACACTTCTGCAAGACTATAACAGGTATGTTGTCCGGGCCGCAAGCTGTAGAAGAGTCTAAGCAGGAATCATTTTAGATACAGAAGCTGGAGTGATACAGATGTTGAGCAATGAATCAACCTGTTTGATGACTATATCAGGTAGAATGCAACTAGTGGAATCCAGAGATGATATTGATGAAACGTTCTTAGCAAATAATTCAGCTTTGTCTTTAGGTAAGGTGACAAAATCTGAACCATACAAAAGAGGTGGAATTACAGACTAGCCCTTATTATTGATACTATTAAAGTTTCTCCAGGTCACGAGAGCCTAGTTTTGTGATGAAATACGAGATTTCATGATCTGAGAATAGAAAACATGAGATGGATTTAAACCTCCTGCTAACTGAACCAATGTAATAAAATTTCTGCACAAAGATTTTTATTAAAAGCAAAAAAAATAACTGACACCATAAAAGTTAATATTCATGATAAAACTGACAATATCATGCATAAAGCAAGATTAATTTGAATATGGTTTCATATCGCTCAATATAGTTGGAATAATGCAACAACATCTAAGTGTTTTTGAAATACCAATGAAAAAAGAATTAAAGGTTACACTTAATCATGGTAGAGCATTTATAAACTATAAGTATATTAAAAATTTAGATGTTATTGGTCCATTTTTTCTCAATCATGGTCTTTGTCTTGGA